GCTCTTCTTGCTCTGGGAATAGTGATGCGAGAGCGAGTCTGAAGAATTTACACAACATAATTTTAGAGAAATGTTTTTTATCTATGACCCACTTTTTTGAGAGAACAGGTAAACTAGGAAAAGATGAGAAAACGCTTGAAATGTACGTGTTGATGATAATTAAAGAGAAGCAATAGGCAAAATAGATAAACATTTTCTTGTAGGTGGACATGTAGAGTAGAACAAAAATTTGAAATTTTTTCGGAAGCAGTCTGGCTTAATGAAAACTTTTACTCAAAGGTAGTTCTAATGTATTTCAAAAAAAAAATGCAGATCTCCTTATCCATGCCATCGCCCGCATCTTTAGATGGGTCTATAGTAGTGATGCAATGTAGATATCAATAAATTTCTAAGCAATGTTTGTAACCCATGCATCACATTTGATTTTTGCAGGTGGCTCGCGAACTCACACTATAGCGCGGCTGTGGACTCGAAATGGTGAGCTGGTAATGACTGCTGTCCAAGAAGGGGTTGCTCGAGCTCCACTTAAAGATTAGTGATGAGAATAATTCACCTCAAGATGTTCATTTCTTTCATAATTGTCACATGATATCATCGCTCGTTTGCAATCTGCTAATTAGATATGTTTCTTTGATTATAATATTAAGGAATGTACGCAAATAAATTGTTTTGTCTCCATGCAAAAATGTTTCCACGCCAAACCCATTTTGCCATCATTCTTCTCACCAAAATGTTCCTTCTGTGGGCAATTCTGGTCGCCTTTTTGGCGTCTGTGAATGCTACTTTTATTGGAGTAAGTGGAGCCCTACTATGTTCTGATCCCTACAGCAACGTCGCCTCAATCTTTCTAATGGAAAGAGATTTTGGGAGAAGTATGTAATTATTCGTCTACTTAATCCACATCTATTAGCTTGAAATGAATAGAGATTGGTGCTTATGAGATGCTTTAAGCGATTTTCGATTCTGTTGATGACGACGATGTGCTAGCTTACAAAGAAATCGGATTGAATGAGCCATTTGAGCTTGGCGGTGAAGAAGTGGAGATTAATGGTCTTGAACCGTACATATATATAAGGCATAGTTGCAAAAAGGTGAGTCTGCTCTAAGGAAAGCGTAACTCTTCAATCTTTTGGAAGACGGAAGTCCTTGCTCTGGCATTGAAGGATGGGTACCAGCAGAATATTGACATCTTGTAAACTTAGATCGATGTTATACCCAAGGTAAATGGGGATTGAACCTAGGCAAAACGTTTCAAGCTATATTTGTAGAAACTGAATTGTTGTAACCAGTTTGTGTTTATAGGTATCATAATTTCTGCGCTCATACTTCTTCCATTGTTAAATCTAACTTAGTACGACTCGATAAATTTCTTCTAGTTATTCCTCCAAGAGGCCAAATAAAGTAATTGGTTGCGCGAGCTCAATTTCAAATTTTTGGGCATCAGTTCGCAGCGAAACCATAGATTGAAAATGCAAAAAAGTCGAATGGCATCAGTGATAGGTTATTATTTCTCATTTTATTTTAGAACAATTACTACTTATAAAAATATGCACAAATTTTTTGCTCAATAGCTCTACACTTTGCACCAGTCTTTAGATACAGTTGTACGGAACCTCATCCATAGTAAGAACCTTGCACTCTCCCTTTAAGGTTTGTAGATACTGTTATTGTGATAGATAGATATGATCTACATGATAGAATGCAGCTAACTCGATAAT